CCAGTGTCCGCTCTGCACCGCATCGTCGCTGCCTCGCCGCCTCGCCGAGTGAGGAAGTTGCTCGGGCCCCACCCTTCCGGAAGAGCCTGCCACTCCCCGACCGTTGTCTTTTTGTCATTGGCAGGGGCCGCCTAACCTTCATCGGAAGGGACCAGGGTCGGCGCTTAACCCTAAGGTATTTTTAGTACCATCTGAGCTCTTTCCCCCGGCTTGATCCCGCCGTCCCAGGTCGCCTGCCACACATCGGTGCACTGTTCACTCACTGTACACGCACACAGTACAGCCGTCGGTCCCCGTCCAGTGGTGGACAGCTGCCCAGCCCAGGCCGTAGCTAAGTAAGTGAACGGTGCGGCGACCCCATTTGTAGAAGGGCCGTTTGAACTAGAGGCCCGGCATGAACATGGAAACAAACGCCTGACGTCGCTCCATGCACATCAGCCTAGTGCCATCGCATTTTCCATCGCGACCCTCACCGACACTACCTTCAGCTTGCTTGCAAAACAATAAACCGGATTCTCCATCATCGAAAAAAAATTTTCGCATCTCAATATCCATCCACAGAGCACAGAGCACCACCACCATCGCAACCTCCTTGATCCCTCTTACCTGTCCTCACGCAACACGGAATTTCCCCGCCAACCTCGCTAAAATAGGGAAAAAGGGGCACGACATTGCGAATGAGATGCCTGTGATTCAACCCAACGAACCCCAGACCCCGACCCGCATCATCAGATCGCCCAAAAGTACCGTTGCTCGTCATTTCGTGGTACGAAGGTTCCTTCGGCGATCCCAACACGCAACCACACACACACACATCACCTACGAAGCACTCGATTACGGTGTACCGCCCACTCTGCAGCTCTGCGGCGGTACCTCCACAGGTCTCGAGGCCACGGATCCAATTTGGTACCGCACCATCCATGGTTGACCGACTGCTGCTCTTTGCTGCAGCCTGATCCAACCAGTTGGTCCTGCTGCTGCTGCCATCTGAAGTCTGGCAGTCCTTCCCGAGTGCGAACCATGCGGAGAACCTTCTCCTCAGCCAGTCCCAGCCCCCGACCCAGTCGCACAACGTCGTCGCTGAGCACCACCCATCCATGTCGTCGCCAACGACCGACACCGTGGACATAGCCCGATCCACGGTGCATTGCATCTTCCCTTTCCATCCCATCCCACTGCCACGGCTGCTGCATATCCGTAGGGCAGAGGCGCACCACCATCGACTGCTGCTGCGCACTTCTTCACCGTCGCACTGCGCTTCCCCATCTATCTCTCTACGGCCGAGGCTGCGGCCGAACAGCGCGGCAGTATGCAACGGCTCTTCTCTCGGGTCATTGTCAGCAACCACCACCAGCCACTGACAGATCGCACGGTATAGGTCAAGGCTGGGACATGCCGTGAGCCGACTGCTCCAACCCGATGCCTCTCTGCAAGTCATCAAATGCTTCACGTAATCAGCAAAGAGTCGTCTGCCATCTGCGTTGTGCTTGTACCGTGGGAACCGCTCAGCTAATCCGTTTGTCGATCGTCCAAGATGCGAGTCACAAGCCGAGTCCAAGACATTACTCAGCCGCGATGTCTTGTAGATCAAGGCAGCAGCTTGAGAGTAGTTGCCTGCGCGAAGCTCCAACGACGGCGGGTGCGTCTGCCTGTTTCGCGGCGCAGAGTCGAGAGTCTTCGAGGCCCCTCAGACGAGTCGCGATGACGCTGTCACGGCTCATCGATGTGGTAAGTCTTCGCAACCAAACCGTCCTTTTGCGTCCACAGGTCAACCTTCTTTCACTGCAAGTTTGATCCAACGAAGCGGCCCGAAACGTCTGTTCCCTCGCGTTCCTGCTTGGGACTAAGGCACGCTGAGCATGCTCAGCACATGGCCGGGAACCAACCATCACCGTCTTTCCACCAATGACGCCTGCTGCTGCGGATCCTTGCCTTACTCAGCCGTCGGACGACTCTGGTATCGTCTTCTCCCACAAACCACCAAAATATTCGATGGCTCGCACTTTGCAAGATGCACTCCACTTGAATCTTGGGGGCGGTGCCTCGGTCTACAGATTCACTCAAGCCAAGGCGCTTCTTTGCGTGGGGTAGCACGCGATGCGGCTTGCTGCTCGCGGCTCTGGATATCCGCACTCCCTCCCGGCTAAAGGATCAAGACTCAGCCTTCCCGTCGCCCACATCTCATCATTGCCGCATACTCAGCCCCCCATACCCACCATGGGCGGCTAGTTCGCAGGACTAAGACATGCCCTGCCTATTCCGAACATGTCAACCATCAAGCGATGGCGGGAACTGCACATTCGGTCAAGTTAAGCTTGAATCACGCTCAACGGCCAGCGGCGTCTGGCGCCAAAATTAGCGCACCCGACTCTCATCGTGAATAGACGCAGCGTGTCTATGGTAGCAGCACGGCCTCTATCATGTCTCTTCCTCCTCGTCGGCCGAGCCGTATGCACCACATCTCGTGTTTGGTCTCAGCTGAGTCTGTACCTGCAGAACCCATGGTGCGGTTCCTTTCCCGAGCTTCAACGGCTGGTGTTTGCTGCCTGGACCAGTTCTCCGCCCAGTTCGTCAATCTCAGCTGTCCAGCGGCGGCTAGCAGATCGGATCATGGGGCCGCGAAAGACCTTCCCGAAAGCGGCAATGCAAAATGTCTGTGATGGGATGTGCCTGGCAGAGCAGGACTGACATGACCTTCTTCGACGCCGCAAGCTTGAAACAGACCCCAACGGGGAGCTGAACAAAGACATCAATGTTGAATCTCGTGTTCGAAAATAAAGAATCCTCGCGGAGATGGCTACTCACGCAGTGGACGCCCGCTTCGTTGCGGCTGGGAAGGTGATTTCGCCGGTAAGTCACAGCGAAGGGTCTAGAACCATACATTCTACGGCAAATCACCGTATGATTTCGATGAATCGGTACTTCGACATGGGGAAGAGAACTTTTGGAAGGTGCGGTGGAGTGGGAGTGATTTGCGCCCGTTTGACAAGTACGCCCTAACCAACACATCACACAGCCCATCGTTCGCCAGTGTCGTCAGTATAGGCGCATACCCGTGGCCGCAGGTATCCAACCTATCCTACCATCAGACCAGTTGACAAGGCACACTGTTCAGGGGGTTTGGGACCTTGTCAAGGGGCGTGGTGAACAAAGACCAAAGCCAACGTTGGTTTGTCTGTCAAACCCAGGCACCAACATGGAATAATCAGCCACCCGGCGCGGCGCGATAATCCGGGGCCTGGACACAGCATGCCGCAATCGAGACCCCCGGCCTGGATCTGATTCATGCATCTCGGCAGGCTTTTCGATGTGCCTCGCCTTTCTACCCCCTAGGCCGGTTGACGGGATCGTTCGGACTCCGTCCGGGTTTTGACAAGGCTCGGTGGCAAGCTTCACATCACCAGTCCGTCATGGTTGCCCGCGACGGGATCATGATCTGCGAGCCCAGAGACGCAAGCCTTGATATCTGCCTCGTGACGAGGCTGTACAGCCTCCAAGGTCAACAGACCACATGCAGGCGGTACTGCTTCAGTTTCTCTGGCCGAGGTTCCATCGCAAGTTGCCCGGCCAGGCACCCAGCTTGTTACTCCCGATAGAGCATCACATTTCATGACCTGTGATTAAGTGGCGAGGTCACCAGGCTTCTTTCGAGCATCTCCCAGCTCCAACGATTTCAGGCCGTGGTTCGATATCTCCACTCATGGAAAGATGGAGAGCTCGTCGCGAGCTGAACTGTGGCCGTCCCTACTCATTAGCCATGAAGCTGTCAACCCACAAAGTTGAAACAACCAACATTTGGGGGTCCCATCGTTGGTGATAGGGACGGGGCCCCGATCACACCTCAAACCAACATACCATTCCCAACACTGCGTCCAGACCGCACGCAATCACGCGCACACCCCTCATCTCTGCCACGTCAGAGACCCAGCAGGAAACACCAACATTTACATCCCCCTCCTCATCGTCGTCGTTGCCATCATAGTCGGCCGACAGCGCAGTGTGATAAACCCCCTCCAGGCTCCCCCGCGCTTAAAAGCTGAAAAGTCGAAATACCCCGTGTTTTGGGGGCCGCAGCCGCGGCCGTGCCAGGAGGGGTGGTGGGTTACGCGCGCCAAAGAAGGAAGAGCAAAAGTCTAAACGGTCGTCACGCCGCACCAACAGCTGTCTCTCTCTGCACCACCTCGGGTCACCGTGACGGGCCTCGCCCGCACGCGGGAAGGAGTAATTGAGTGCGTATCTGTATGCGCAGCAGTTCCTGCACCAACTCCAAATTTCTTCAGAGATGCCAGGTTCATCCCGGTTGACGAGGTCGGAGCTCTCCTACCTCGAGCTCCGGGCGTCATTTCTTTATTTCGTCCCATCTGTGAGGTGCAATTCTCCAAACTGGCGAGTACGAGCCGGAAGCCGAGTCCGAAATGACTTGACACTGGTTTCGAAGCTCATATGCCGTTTGTCTGTTTGCAAATGACAAAGCCAATCCGAGGGCGCCCGCCTGCTCCTTTTCACTAACTCGACAAGCTCAATTTTGGTTCGCGGTGAGGAAGACATAGGTCATGTGATCTCAGTAGAAACGATTCTATTGCAGTACAGGAAAACAAGCAACGTGAACCAACTCGTCAATGTAAAGCGAGCAAAGGTCCCCGAAGACGGACAGTTACACTACGCAACAAAAAAAAACGCCTTCATAAGAAGAAGCAGGAAACCAAGGGAGACAGGTTAATGGATACAAGAGCGTTTACGACCGGAACCGCCCAATACGTGTTTCGTGGGGAATCTCCCTTCACTTCTTTTTGTGTTCTGCTTGGAAAACCTCGGCGTCACCTTCCTTTTTCGTGTGTTGTTCCAAGGTTCCCTTTCCTCCTGCCACCCTTTCCCGAGTAAGGAGACCCATCATCATCATGCCATGAAGTAATTAGTAGAAGAAAGGAGGAGAGAGAGTTGGGTAGATGTCATGACGGTTCGAAGGGGGAGAGCGGGACAGATCAGAAGAGGATTATTGATTATGAGGCGCCCGCGGTGGCGGCGGTGGGCTGCTGGGGGACGACGCGGCCGCGAGGGCTCTTGCCGTCGGACTCGGACTCGTCGTCGCTGTTGCGGCGGGAGGGGCTGTCCTGCTCTCTCCTGGACTTTGTCATCTGCGATCCTGGTTAGCACACTTTGCCCGTGTCACATCGTGTCACATCACTCCCGAGCAAAAGACTTACCCATGAGCGGACACCGCCGACGAGACCCAGCGCGTATCCCGTGATAAAGTCGTTCGACGTGGGCGCGGGGGTGCCGCCCGGGGTGGTGGGCGGGATGTCGACGCTGAGCTTGGAGCGGTTGCCGGCGGCGGCGGCGTTGAGGTCGCCGTTCTGGATGTACGAGGTGCGGGCGGCGGGGGCGGGGGACTGGGGCCGGGAGGCGGGCCAGTACTGGCGCAGCTCGCGGGAGAGCTCCTGGCCGGTGGTGGACCAGTTTGTGCGGATGTTATCGCGCAGCTCCTGGACGTGGCGCTTGAGGTCGAGCTCGTTCTTCTTGAGCCAGCTGACGTTGAGTTCCTGGCGGGGGGTGCCGCGCTTGAACTGGCGGGCAATGTACTTTTCGTAGTCGCGGACGATCCTGGGGAGAGTGTGAGGTCAGTTTCTGCGCTTCTTTGGGTGATGGGGGCTTGGAACACGAAGCTTGCAATGTGCCCGTTTCGGGAGGGAAAGGAACCTACTTGGTGATGATACCAGTCGTGCTGACGCCCTCGGTTCTCTGCGTGACCAGGAACTTGCCGGCCTCCTTGATGGGCCTGTAGATGTCGTCGCCCTCGTCGGCGCCGTAGGGAATGTCGTCGTGGGCGACGTAGTCGATCTTGTGGGCCTCGAGGAAGTCCGGGGTGACGATCCAAGGGCAGTCCTCGATGACCTCGTCGACCCATTTGCAGTGACGGATGGTCTCGGCGCGCTCGCGGCCCGAGAGAACAGTCAGACCCTTGCGCTTGTGTGTGTCGACGTCGCCGGCCACACCGACGATGAGGTAGGTGTCCGGGAAGGCCTTTTTCGCTTGTTCGAGCTGGCGCATGTGGCTGTTTTGCGGTCGCAGTATTAGCACGTGACTCTGTTTCGGGAGGGAGGGATAGAGGCTGGGAACACAGACCCGAGATGGAAGAGATCGAACACTCCGTCGGCGTATACTCTCACGGGACGTCCGGCAGGGGGGTCGTTCGTCCTGTAGCCCACGGGGTGGGTGAGCTTGCCGATGGGGGGAGGGGGCATGGAGTCCTCGGGGGTCTCCTTGATCGAGACGGTCTTCTTCTTGCGGCCGACGCGCTCGGCGATGTCGACGCTCGCCTCGGTGGTGTCGCTGGGCTCGCCGGGGTCGAGGGTGTGGTCTTGCGCCGCGGGGGCGGAGGAGCCATTGTTGTTCTCGTGGACGGAGCGCTCCGAGTTGGCGCGTTGTCGCTTAGACGGGTGGCCGGCGGAGGCGGAGGCGGTGGAGTCGGACTTGCGGTGGGAGGAGGTCGAGGTCAGGCGGCCGGTTTCCGGGGCGGTGCTGTCGCCCTCTTCGCCGGAGGCATCGCGGGAGGAAGCTTGGAGGTCTGGTTGGGGCATGGAGGCTGTCGTTGAGGGGCGCTTGCGTTTGCCTGCTACTGAGGAGCTCGAGGGTGATGACATCTTGGGCGGTGTTGGTGGTGGTGGGGGGACCGAAAGGGTTTTGAGGGTTGCTCGAGATGTTGGACGGGATGGAGTTGGAAGTTGGAAGCGGTCTGCCGGCCGTGGATGAGGTAGTTGGTGGTGAGGGCGTGGAGTCGGCCGTTTGGTTAGGTAAGGTAGCGGGCCGCAGCTAAGGGGGGGCGGACTGTGTTGCTTGATTGATCGGCAGTAGTATGTCGTATGTAGGAAGGGTTTTCGTCTGGCGTATCCCGCGTGGGAGGATTGCTTGCGGGCGTGGGTGGTGGTTGCTGGACTGCTGTGCCTTGGTTTTAGTTAGGAGGGGTGATGGCTGATGACGATGGACTTTTTTTGACGAGAGGGTGCAATTGGAGAGCGAAAGCACAGGGAAGGGGGAGGGTAGGGAAAAAAAGAGCTTAGGTAGGTCTGGGCCTGGGTTTCGGAGAAAGAAGGGCAATTGGACGGAAGAGGGTAGAATACTAACGACGGCTTCTGAGAGGTTTACACTTTTTGCGCGCCGCGTTATTGGAACGGGTAGGTCCAGCCAGAGCCGTGAATGGTTGGTTGGAAGGTCTAAGGTAGTCCAGTCGGAATAAAGTGTGCTCGGCTGATTGCGAGTTTTGGCCGGACGGATGTGACAGCAAAGACAAGGTAAAGCAAAACAGAGCAGTAGAGCAGCAGAGCACAGCTACCTACGCAGCAAGATTGCGCATATGATACGGATAATGGACTACCTTTGTGTTAGACCTGCAGCTAGTGGGGGAGCGTCTACTCCGGTCGGCGGGATGCGGACCACGGAGGAGTTCGTCGGGAGTTTGAAGTTGGGTTAAAGGCGAGTTGACAGCTGACGGTCGTTAATCGCGGTTGTGAAGCTGCAATTGCTGTCACCCGAGTGCCAATGGAGAAGGAATAGTGTGTTGTTGGACCGTCTGTCAACTGGGTTCGCAAGTCGCGTGTCACGAGTGGGAAAATGCCACGATGTCCATCGAGATTTTGTCCATACACGTTCACAAATTGCATTGCGCGCAGGAGCGACATGCCTGTCCCCTGCTCCTCTTTCTTTTTTCTTTCTCTCATTGCAACTCTCGGAAACTGCACCGGTGGCCTCTCGGTTACAACTTGCCTGCTGTGTTCTCTGTATTCGTACAAGTATCCATCCGTTATCCCGACGGACAACAGAAGCACTCCGAGGAGGAGGCGGACAGCTTGTACAAACAGCAGGACTCGTCAAGCTCGCGCCTTGCACATGCGTAATAATTGCCTCCAGCGTTTGTGCAAGACAGTGGCGTCATCCGACTGTGGCTTGAGCAGAGAGCACCCCGTCGGATGCACTGCACAATTACGTCGGTTGGGGGCCCGCCGTCGGTGGCTTTGCTCTAGCTGGGCCAATAGTGTCGTCTGCTTTGGCTGAGCTGCCGCCGGTGCACAGAACCGAAAAGAAATAAAGCTAAAATACCGAAAAAAGTACTTACAAGGTGTGCGGGTCATTTCTGCCCGGCAGGGATGGTTCGAGATTTCACAGTTCTGTTGGGGAGGAAGTGGATTCCTGCTTCTCCAAACGGTACGTACCCGCAAAGCTCGCCCTTGGCATTCGTCGGTCTCTCCAACTGGGCAGCAGCAAAATGGCAGGAAATGATGGCAGAAGGATGACACGTGGGCAAGACAGAGAACAGACACGGTTCAACTCCGGGACCTTCGATCCATCGTTTTTGTCGGAGATGGCAGCGTGACATGTCAGGTGACGTCGATCGGCCTTCGCAGCGCATCGGCCTGAACCTCAATTCTGGCATTGCGACGTTGGAATACCTGCGGCGGGCGCTTTGCCTGTGATGGCCTCTGCATCGAAACTCATCGAAGTTGCGGCTTTTTTTTGACTTTCGTCTGTCTTTGGATATGACAAGGGAAGCAATGCGAAGGGCATGCATCAAATCAAATTTTGGCCGGTCAATGCGGCTGACCCACTGGGGATGCTTCCGCTGGGATGTGACGCCATGCATGAGTCGACTGCCATTTTCGACTACGGACGGCAGGTGAGGCGGCCGGTCAAGGGCTGCCGGGTCGGCGGTCAGAATGTCGGAGTGCGACGCGGAGACGGTGGTGTGGGCCAGTCGGCGGACGGGGTGGATCCCGGGTGGTCGCCGATGAGGCCGGAACCGGCAATCATCAAGTTGCAAGTATGACAATGGCATTGAAGGAAACCAGTTGGTTTTCGCTTGGATTGTGACGGCTAATTTTCTTTGTTTGACATATCGTTCAGATGTCATTGCCAAATTTAGTGACAACTACCCCTTCCTCATGTTGTTTACTTTTAAGGCAAGAGATTTTAGACAACAAAAAATTGAAACTATTGCAATATTCATCAATGTGTCACCAAATCATCTGATTCACATCTTTCAAGATCACTGTTTTCTTCTATCAAGAGAATGTCACGTTTGACTGATTCAAGCCAGAGTCATTGCCTCGTCAGCTCCATCCAGACCCTGCCCATCAAGGTCCCCAACCACGATGGAGCAACCAGAAACACCAAGACAGGGATCACCACTATCTGCAATGTCTTTCATTGGCCTACCTCACATTCATACGCCGCTGGCCATCAAGGTAGATTCCGCAAGATCTCGTTCTCTCCTGTGACTACCCGACTCCGGCAGGTCGTGGAATCGGGTTCTGGTAGCAATGGTATCAAAACTCCTTCTGCCCCCGTGACTACCAGCCGTCTTCTGTCTAGTTCCTCCTTCACCCCGCGAGACGCACACCTCGAATTCTCCTTCTGTCTCCTTCTCTCCAAATCCCAAAAATGACGGAACAATTCGTCCACGACGTGGTCATAATCGGCGCCGGCCCCTGCGGTCTCGCCGTCGCCTCCCGCCTCTGCGAGCACTCCCCCTCCGCCCTCTTCACGGACGAGGAGCACCAGCGGTACCACTGGATCCGCAAATACGGCCGCCGCATGCCGCTCAAGAACCGCCGCAACGGCGCCATCATCGAGAAGCGCACCCCGGCTCAGTTCCAGCGTTATTCTACACTCGTCCTCGACGCCACGGGCGACGAGTGGCTCAACAAGTGGAACCGCCTCTTCAAGACGTTCGACATCACGCACCTGCGCAGCCCCATGTTCTTCCATATCGATCCGATGGACCGCGACTCGCTTCTCGCGAGGGCCCACGAGCGGAACCAGGAGGGCGAGCTGCTCGAGCTGAGGGCCTGTGTTGGCAAGGAGATTAGCAAGCACCTGCGCAAGGCGAGGGTGAAGTCGAGGAATCCAAAGTGAGTTGCCCCAGTTATACCCTTAACGCCACGAGGACAGTTTGCTAACCCAACTGGTGCCAGACAACACGCCGTCGTCGAGGTCGACGAGCGAGACCGCAAAGACTACTTCACCCCGCCCACGAACCTCTTCGCCAACCACTGCGACTGCATCGTCGATCGCTACGGCCTGCGCGAGGGCCTGATCCAGAACGAGAAGGTCCAGGACATCGAGTACCGCGTCATCAAGCACGTCTCCCCAGACGCGAACCTCTTCGCCGTGCACACCGACAAGACAATCCACTACGCAAAGTCCGTCGTCCTCGCCGTCGGCCCCGCCAACGCGCCCACCATCCCGCCCGTCCTCGGCCTCAACTCCGACCCCTCCAGACCGCCGCCGCAGACCTGCCACAGCATGCAGATCCAAAAGTTCCCCGACCCCGTCGTGCAGGCCAAGATCGCGGCCCGGCGCACCAGCAACGTCCTCGTCGTCGGCGGCGGGCTCACGTCCGCGCAGCTGTCGGACCTCGCGCTCCGGCGGGGAGTCACGAAGGTGTGGCACCTGATGCGCGGCCCGCTGCGCGTGAAGCCGTTCGACGTGGACCTCGCGTGGATGGGCAAGTTCCGCAACGTGGAGCAGGCGTACTTCTGGAGCGCGGACTCGGACGAGGAGCGGCTGGCGCAGATCCAGAGCGCCCGCGGCGGCGGGAGCATCACGCCGCCGTACCACAAGCGGCTGAAGCAACACATCGCACGGGGGAGCTTGGAGCTGTGCACGAACACGAAGCTTGCGGAGGCGCGGTTCGACGAGGAGAGGAAGGTGTGGAACGTGAAAACGGAGCCGCCTGTGGAGATACCGGCGGTGGATTATATCTACTTTGCGACGGGCGTGCAGACGGACTATGCGAGTTTGCCGTATCTGCAGACCATGTTGCGGGAGTATCCGATCCACGGGCACGGGGGCATGCCGTGTATCAATGACGATTTGATGTGGAAGGAGGGGGTGCCGTTGTTCGTCACGGGACGGCTTGCGGCGCTGAGGCTGGGGCCCGGAGCGGGGAACTTGGGTGGGGCGCGGTCCGGCGCGGAGAGGGTTGCTTGGGCCATTGAGGACTTGATTCCGAATAGGGGCGGGGATGAATTTGTGGAGGATGAGGAGATGAAGTTTGTCACCGGGCGGGGCAACCGGTTTGATAGTCTAGTGTCTGCTGGGGAGGATTGGTGAATTGTGGATTTAAACCGTTAACTTTTTAATCTTGTCGTGAAAGTGGGCGCCGTGGAGTTGAGTAGGGGTATCGAAATATCAAACCCATTATTGAGTACAGTGCCTCAAGTCTTGGATGATTTCGCTCGTCGTCGCATGTTTTTGCGCCCAACGCCGGACAGATTGACGGACGAGAACATCCACCACCTCCCGGACCGGAACGGAGGCTTCAGCTCCTCGCCGAGTCTTCGGGTAGCTGCTGCAACGCCACCTTGACGCATGTCATGAAACGGATGCGCTCCCTGTCGCTGACATCCAGCCAGTGGAAGCGAGGGAAGATTTGCTTCTTCGCAAACAAGCTTAAACCGCCTGCGTCCCTTTCAGATTACTTTGGTCTGGGGTCTTGAAGGGCAGTCTTAGTATAAATGAGCAAATGCGTCGTTCTGTTTCCACTACGGGTGCACAAACCAATCTAGATCAGACGACGAGAGTCCCTTAGGGTAACGAGCACTCGGACTCGAGATGTGATGGTGCGGTCGTATGCAGGTACCCGTGAGCAATCACAAACATTTGTTATGAGCAGGAAGGAGGCTCCAAGCAAACGGGACGGGAGGTTTGATTTAGGTGAGGCTCTTGTCTGTGACACCATGAACCCAGGCTGCGCATCCCGAGCGGAATTGAACGTCTGTCAGGCCGCGACGGTATGATTGGAACCGAATATATGATGCACCTCAACCGCTCTCCTCCTGCTGGTTGTTCCCATATGTCATCCTGTCTCCATCCATTCAATACTACATTCATTTTGTGTTCCCGTTCATTCATTGGTTGGAAGTATGAAGACTCAAATCATTCTCCTCTGTACGGCGCTGAGCGGCATCGCCGTCTCCCATGTCACTCTGTACGGCCAGTGTGGCGGGTAAGCTTTTCCTACGTCTCTCCTCTCCGTTATTTGAATCACAAACATAGCACACGAATACCCTTCAGAAGACGATCGTCCATAACGCTGACCATTCTCCTAGAGAAGGCTGGGCTGGCTCAACAACATGTGTCTCCGGCACGACCTGCGTGCCCTACAGCGAATGGTACAGCCAATGCATGGCCGATGAAGCCGACAACGGTGCCAACCCCGCCCCGGAGCCCACAGCAGAGGTCTCATCCGTTGAACCAACTGCTGTCCCCACGGTGATTGAGGATATCCCCGCCTCATCCGTCGTCGAAGCCATCCCAACGTCCGAAGCAGCTGAACCCACTCCTTCCGCATCAAAGGATCCTACCCCGTCAACCACATTGGTCACAGCCACCAAGGAAGCGACATCCATCATCGCCGCTCCTTCGGGAGTAACAAAGACATTACCTCAGTCCTCGGGCACCGTGGAGACTGATGCCGCGATCCCCGTGTCTGGGACCTTTGACGGCGGGATGAAGATGTACGACCGGAACCGTGAGTGGCGCCCTCTTGACAGCAGCATCAGATTGATATGCTGATATCAAATTAGCGAGTGTGTGCCAGGAACAGACCGAGACGGGCGAGGACGACGCCATGTTCATCCTCGAAGACGGCGCGACGCTCTCGAACGTCATCCTCGGACCTGGGCAGGCGGAGGGCGTTCACTGCAAAGGAACCTGGTACATCTCCCCTCCTTCTTTCCCCCATTAGAGAAACCACATGAGCGCTGACGAGTGCGTGAACAGCACCCTCATCAACGTCTGGCACAGCGACGTCTGCGAGGACGCCATCACCCTCAAGCAGACCTCGGGCACGTCCTCCATCATCGGCGGCGGCGCCTTCCACGCCGCGGACAAGGTGGTGCAGTTCAACGGGCGCGGCACGGTCTCCATCAATGACTTTTGTAAGTCTCAGCCTCCCTCGCAAAACCCGTTTCGAGAATGATGAAAATGCTAATTACGGCGCAACAGACGTCGAGGACTATGGTAAGCTCGTGCGCAGCTGCGGCAACTGCAAGGCCAACGGCGGGCCGCGGAACGTGGAGATTGAGAACGTGGTCGCCGTCGACGGCGGGGTGCTGTGCGGGATCAACACGAACTACGGGGACACGTGCATGATTTCGGGCGCGTGCCAGAGCGCGGGGAAGAGCTGTGATTTGTTTGAGGGGAATGATACCGGCGAGGAGCCGAGCAAGGTGGGCAGCGGGATGGATGGGGAGTTTTGCTTTGTGAGTGGGTTGAGTGAGAGTTGTTAGGTGGGAGTTCGGGTGCAGCTTTTGGTAGTTGGTGGGGTGTTAATGACGAGGGAAAGAAGGAAGCATGGGATGTTATCAGCATCGTACACTAAGCATTCCGGGGCTCGAGATCCCTACGGTTCTTAGATTTAAGAATATCAAACTGGGCAAAAAACTCATTTATAATAAGTATTGGGTCTTGCACAAAATCTTTAAAGAGCCAATCCAATGAAATTGGAGCCCGATTCCGCCTGCAATGGTTAGATGGGATTCAAGTAAGCCATGCCGTCAATGTGGTATGGGAGCTTCGTCATGGTATTAAGAAAGCTAGCTTTCCCACTACCATCATCGAGGTATACGTGATGTATCAACAGATGGTGGAGATATGATAACCGATAATCGCACAAACGGAAGCGTATTTTCAGGGTTTTCTCTACATCTTCGAATCTCAGAGCAGAGGAGGATCACCAGATCACAATAGTGGATGTGGTTAATGCGAAGATGACCAGGCAGGTGATTTGCCTGCTCCTCTCAGATTCTTAGAATGTGAGGAGATTGACCCATATATAACAAAGGGATTTGCTCCTCTGGTTCTGGGCTGAGCAATATGTTGCGCTGGGGAATTGTACAGGAATTCAACTCGTCAAACATGTACGTGTGATAGGAATACCATCGCGAATCGTTGGCTTTTCGGGCCTGTTTGCTCATTAAGAATGACGAGACTCACAAATACCAGTCCCGGCAACTTCGTTGAGGGCAAGCATACATCCCAGAACTTCCAGGTGTCATTGCAGCCATTTGCAACATTTTTTAGTTTCCAAAATATCACCAAGATATCACCGACTCACTATTGAGAGTTTTTTCAGCTGTCGCAGCGCTGATATGTGACCTTTATACCCGGTCTAGACTTACGACCGGACCAGCCGGCCCGCCGAAAAGACCGGAAGACCGACCCACACGGCGCCGAACCCCCACCCGCCGATGCCGATCGCCCCTTCGCCGCGGCATCACCACCCTCAGCCCTCCGCCGTGCTTGAAGTCACATCGACACCGCCATCCCGCTCAAACTTACCACTCCGCCGGGCGCCGCCTCGTCCCTGGCCTGTCTCATCTACACCAGTTCCCCTGAATCCCATCACACTCAAACCCCGTCTCTCGTGTTATGCTTACTGATGTTCTGCTCCCACTCCCGAAATATCCGAACATCCAGATCTCTCTCGCCAAGATCGCACGTCAGAAAGATAGTATCTCTCTAGCCAAAACTCAATCCAACCAAAAAAATCACCTCAGCCCCATCAAACTTGGCACTCCATCCTCAACTTCGGATAGACAGTGGCGATAAATGGCTACGAGTTCATCGAAAATAGCTTGTCTATCTTTGGGACGAATTAAGAAATCCGGTATTTCTGACGTGAGAACACTGACTGCTGCTGCCACCACACCTATATCACTTGTATCTTCAAAACTCAAGTTTTGTGCGCCGGTATGAACGACGACACACACACGAAAAAACCTACCTATTATTCCCTCTCGTGTCCATCGCGCCCATTAAGAAAAACTCTATTGCACACACGACAATGTTCTGCCGTAAAACAAGGCCGACTGTCCAGCCAAGCCAACCGAAAGCATGAATGTTAATATTCCCCTCACAGCACATCCGCTTCAGAGAAGAGGGTTGTCAAAGTGTGTCGTGCCGTGTGAGCAGGGTACATGCGTCAGTCCAACATCCCACCCCCAGATAAATCAATACCCTCCCCTTCCTGACACACGCATGTCCCCCCCCCAGTCTCCAAGATGCCAGCTTACCTCATCCCGAATCCGAACCTTTGGACCAGTCACCACCCTCTTTACGTGTCTCGTCGTCCCCCGTCAAGTTCATCCGGAGACTCCGGGCTTGCGTTCTTCCCTCCCCCCCGCGCGCCAATACGGTGTCGAGAAGAAAGAGAAAGGTTTTCTGTCCCATCCATGCCATCGCCGGCCACCCCATGCCAAGAACCCCTCAAAAAGTCTCTTTCGTTCCTCTTCTGTCCGCAACGCGCGTTACTGACCACACCCGCCGATGCATTCCTTCCAACTTATGCCACGGCGTGTGTTATGGCACGCCTTCCCCGGAGTCGCATCACAGGCAAAGGGCCGCGATAGCCGGGAGCTTTCACATATACCACCGTACATGCACACATGCAGCCATGCAGTCCTGTCTTCTGAGCAATTGACCAGCTAAGAGAAAACCCCCGGCCGCCGCTGCCTTTTTCGGCCCGGCCTTCACTCCCCTCATCGCACGAGAAAACGGCTGAAATCGCCCTCTTCGCGGGAAGTATACCCGGGGCCACCCCTGTTCCATCTCACACCACCCTCGACACAAAAGTATGAATCTGTCCCTCCCCTCCCCCCGTCACACCACTACACCCCCAGATTCTGGATTATTTCGGGACAAAAGACGCGCCTGGGCGGAGTTTAGCCGTTCGCGCGCCGTCTGTGAAACTGGTCCCCGCCCAACGCTGCGCCCCCCCACTTGCCATGTGAGAAGACGGGAGGAAGGCCGTTCCTGCAGCGGCGGCGGTGGCGGCGGAGGGGATATGTGGAGGTGGAGCGATAGCTGCCATAGCTGTTGCTGCTGCTTCATGACTTAGTGTCCTGGTGGGCGGTGGGATGATTGTTCTTGATGAGGGGTAGATAATTGGCAGGCGAGAGAAGAACAGCCGGCGAGAGACAGAGAGTTGCGTCCGAGTCGGACACTGTACGCCCTCGGGGTGGTGGCATCTGCGATCCGACGAACACCTCAAATGCCGGAGGGAGGAAAAAAAAAAGCCTTGGCCATATGCGGTGCCTCCCGCGGCTGTCATTGTCTGAAATGTTGTGCAGTTATTTTTGTGAAGCCCGGTGTTTCTCAATTCCTCGAATCACGACATCGGCCGAATAACGCCAAAATATCGCCATATTGGCCGTTGTTAATATCAGTCATCGTCAGGTCACCTGTTAACAATCCGATCTGGCGTCTCTGCTGTTCGTAATATGTCTCTGACATTTGGCTTTACCGCTAAGTAACAAGATAACATTGAGGCTAGAACAAAACCATAAAGAAAACAAAAGCCAAGGAATCCCATCTTGGTAGATTCACCCCTCTTCGCCCATAAACGCCGCCACAAGGTTTCCCCGATCCTGAATCCCATTTTCCTGCCCCTCGTCTTGAGTAATGTTTGTGCGTCGAGGAGATATGAGAAGTTTTTTCTTCATAAAAGAGATTTTGTGTGTTAGAAAAGTCCCGCTCTATGTACAGAAGTGATCGCGTTTCGCAGCTATTTCCCAAATGTGTGTTTCCCGCGCGCCCTGCGCGGTTGTGTGGCCCTTCCCGCGTTTCTCTGTGTTCCCGAACCCCGAACTGTTGTAAAATCAAACAAATGCTTTGAGAACCGTGATCCCGGCTGGTATAACCTCCAATCCGTGCTGTCGTGTAGATATGTACACTCTAGATATGTAAATGCAAGTTAAAAAGGAATAGAGTAGAGAACATGACATGTCGAGAAACAAACTTTGGTCGACAGGTTTGTTGTGTGTGTGTGAAAACTTCGAGACAGAATCGCTTCTTGCTGTGTGGTTCGTTCGTCTGTTGGACCTTGCCACGAAATACCCTGTTTCTTCTTCACCCCCATATGCATGCAGTATGTAGCTTCGAAAAGAAAAGAAATGAACAACACCGTCTTGTCTAGGAGAAAAGGCTTGTTTTAGCTTCTCTCGACCGGGTTCTCCCACTTGATCGGGTGCACCAGCATGCTGCGCATACACAAACGGCCTGAGCTGTCTTTGTGCGACTCCTCCTGCATGCCGCCGCGCAGCGTGCCCTCGTTCGCGCGGCCGCCGTTGGTGCCGCGGCCGTCCATCTGGCCGTAGCCCAGCCAGCGACGCCACAGCAGGCCCGCGAACTCGGAGTTGTAGTACCAGCTGGTGCCCTTGTGGTTGTGCTCGTTCTTGAGGTCGAACGGCGACCCGTGGCCGCCGGTGGTGCCGTCACGGCCGCCGTTGAAGGCCTTCTCGATGGTGTCGAAGGGGTACCACGCGCGGTCGAGGTAGACGGGGTGCGGCGCGTAGGCGGCCTTGAAGCCGTGGTGCAGGGCCATGGAGGCCGGGAACATCTCGGAGAACATGCTGTGGTGCATGCGCCACATCTCCTCGTGCATTGCGGCGAGGAGGCGGCGGCTGAGGCGGGAGGCGGTGACGATGGAGCAGCGGCGCGGGGGCGGCGCGAAGACCATCTCGTAGCCGGTGACGTCCTTGGCGAAGACCCAGCCGGACTCGTCGGCGTCGAAGAGCGGGTTGAGCGTGATGAGGTCGGCGTCCTCGCCGACGCCGCACTCGGCGGGGTCGCCGCCGCGGGCGCAGTTGGCGGGCATGACGGAGATGCCGGCCTCTTCCGACTTGAGGGACATGCGGCCGGGGAAGATCTGGGGGCCGAGGATGGCGCGGCGGCCGGAGGCGTTGAGCTCGCGCTCGACGGTGGTGGCGAACTCGTCCCAGGAGCCGTGGACGGCGGGGATGTAGTACTTTGAGGAGCGCTCCCAGAGGAGGGTGCGGGACTGACCGCGGGCCCAGGCGCCGAGGCGGTCGAGCAGCTCATAGTAGGAGCCGATGTAGCGCATGTCCATCTCCCAGTTCCAGAAGTGGGTGTACTCGGGGTGCTGGAGGGCGAAGACCTGGAGGGGCATCTGGGCGGAGCGGTAGACGCCGTGGATGTCGCCGTTGGAGGGGTTCTCGAGCGCGTCGGCGAAGTGGCCCGGGTAGTAGAGCTTCATCTCGGCCTCGGACCAGAGGGTGCAGAGGGAGTGGAACTCGGTGGGCACGTTGTCGTCGAGGATCTTCTGGACGACGGACGGGTCGGACCAGATGGGCGCCTCGTTGTCCTTGACGTGCAGCAGGAAGTGCAACGAGTACTCACCGCCCGACTTGAGGGAAAGCTCGGAGATCATGGCGCGGAAGTTGATGATGGCGTGCTGGGTCCACTCGAAGCCGACGTAGGTGCGGACGAC